TGTGGGGCCCGCCTAGGGGTTGGGGTGAGTGAGGAACAATAACTTGTCTCACCACTCTTCTTTTCATTGCTCAAATTTCTCATTTATAAAAGTTATTTTTCTTTTGTCATTTTTCTCTCATTTCACTTGCACCAATTCTAGATGATGAAGATGGTTCCAATAAAAATAGTGTGAAGGTGCCATTATTGAGAATTTGCAATCAAGTTGAACAATATGGCGTTATATGGAACACCTTCATGAGTTTCACCCCTTTAGGTAATGGATAATAGTGAAGAGCCTTAAATCTCAATGAATGACAATATAAAAAAATTGCACTAAAATCTGGGAGTGTCTCGCTTAAGTAAATAAGAGACCCAAGAGTGGGTTGAGTGAAATAAAAAATGTGAGGTTTTTTTTATTAAAAATTTAGAGACCCCGATTTTGGCGAAGATACCTTTAGGAACCCAAAGATTCCCTTTTGGTCTCTAAATGGATCTCTAAATTGGTGGATAGAGACCCGATATAGAATTTGAATTGACAATGCTCTTATAAATGGCATAAAAAATCAAAGATTTCTTCTCTCTCCAAAGTCAAAACTCTACTATGCTAATCTTCGTCGTTACACATAGCCAAAAAAAGAAAAAATTCATGCAAAGAAAATGTAACTCTCTCTTTTAATTTAAGAAAAAAGTTACCTCCCTCTAAAAAGCACAACACAAGTGTCCATTTTCCAACAATCAAAGCTTTCGCACTGGACTTATTTCCCAATATTTCCTTTCCTCAATTTGATTTATTGATTTGTCTCATACGAATTTTTTAAGAACCTAGAAAAGAGTAGAAAACACAGAGAACATACACAATAGATTTTCCCTAAAAGATAGTAGTTGAAACACAAAAAGATTAGGAGAAAAATTTAAGTCAACAAGCAACATAGATTAATGATAATGGTTGAATAGCTCACCAAAGAAGCACTAGTGGGATACCATCCAACCCTCTCTAAGAATGGAGTTGAAAGTCTTTCAAAATAGAAATGGGTAGAGTTTCTAAGAGTTATAAAGTTATTGACTTTATTTGAATATAAGTTAGAGGTATTTATAAGAGATGAAAA